ATAAACTACAGTATTCAGCGTCAACTAGGCATTTACATTAGAGAGATTGGTCGAAATAAAACTGCTCAATAAGGATGATACAAAAAGGAGAAACACGAGACGTCAGTGTTGTGTTTTGAGTGTAATATAAGGCTTCAAACTTTCACGTTTCAGTAGTGGTCTTGTTTTAACAGGGTAAAGTTGCTAACTTTAAGCTTAGTATCTCGTCTTCTCTGGACTTACTACCCATTAGTAAAATAGATAAGATTTAGGAGTACATCGATCAGGAATCGAACCTAGACCTCCTGTGTGAACCATTAGCACAAGACGTTTATGATAATTCCTAACAATATAATCCAGTTGTAAAAAGATCTCACCTCTCGATCGGCGAACAGCAGAGCAGTTTGAGCATATTGTAACAGATTTAGTTTTAAATCCGAATCGTAAACAAGTGACTCCCAGAGGCCACACATTTCCGATGAAGGAAGTAACCATGTAGTTCCACTGTTAATAGACTCTGAACCGAATTCAATAATTTCTTGGACTGGTACAGCTTCTTCACCACTAACCAACTGATAGACATGTATTAAAATTACAGCAACAGAAAGATTGACTGATCGGCCAGCATCATTTTCATGAAGTCCATCAGCTTCATCAAGTACTAACTAGATAAGAAAAAAATGTCATGAATAGATCCCATAACTTCTTTATAGAAACATTGAGTTCTACAGTGAATGAAAGAAATCTCTGTTGTTGATGTTGATACTTAACTTTACGTGAAATAAGATAACCTTAACCTAGAGAATAAGTGATTCCATATTAGTTTGTTTATTAGATGTATCACACAATGAAACAGCATTATTTACTGGATGACGTTTTGAACAAAACTTATTTATTCGAACACACTTACTCAAAGGTGGTGGCAATTCAATTCACTTATGAATTGGAAATTCAAGAAGGGGAGCTTCCAATGATAGATTGTAGCGTAAAAAGGGAAGAAGATGGGAAGTTAAACACTAGTGTTTACAGGAAACACACACATTCAAACAGATATGTGAATTTCCGATCATCTCATCCTATGTCAGTGAAAATTGGATTGATGAAATGTTTAAATGATAGAGCACAAAAACTAAGTAGTACTAAAGAAAATCTAAGACGGGAAGTGAAGCATATAGGAGAAACTTTGAAACTTAATAATTACCCTGATAAATTAGTCAGAAAGTATGTAGGAAAATGAAAAATAAAATAAATAGTGATAGTAGTGATAATAATAATAATAATAGTAATAATAATAATAATAATAATAATAATAATGACGACATGCATGTCAAACATGCGCAAGATAGTGACAACACCAACAATAAGGAACCTAAATCATCAGTAGTAATTCCATACAAGGAAGGAACCTCCGAAACCTTACACAGAATTCTTAACAAGATAGGAATAAAGGTAGCTGGCATTCAAACCCACAAACTCACTGAGAAACAAGTTTTGCCGGTTAGAATATCCTGTGGAGCGTTTAAAACAAAACAATTTAGTTTGTCTAATACCCTGTCTGCGATGATCGTCAGGTCAAAGTAGTAGAACAAGGTCAGTTAGTCAAACAAGCGGAGCGCAAAAACCTAGCAAAATCTAGATAAGTTGACCCGAATAAGATAAGAAATCTAGAGAATACCTCAGCTATACCACTCACTACATGCAATCACACACAGCCATACAATAGGACGGGAGGGATAAGATGACAGTTTTAAAATCTAATGTAAAAGGGTGGAGGGAGAGATTGATAACAGAAGCTTTGTTTATCGAATCAACTGCAAACACGTGTAACAGCGGTGAATCAACACCTGTCCCAGACGGATATTTGGAAAATTCTACTACCCTCATGATGACAAATAGGAGAGAACAAAGAAAACTATAAAACTCAAGTTTCGAAGTCGTGTGATTATAATTGTTGGCATGATCATGAACAATGAATTTTGTTCGAAACCTCGTCATCCAGTAAATAATACTGTTTCACTGTGTGATATATCTAATAAACAAACTAATATGAAATTACTTACTTACTTAATAGAGAGTAAGTGGAAAGAATTTTCTGACCTCGACAATTCCTACACACTTGAAAAACTTTAATATTAGACATAAGACTTCAAGTCTCGATCAGCCTTATACTATTCTTAAACTGCATGCAACACAATTAACTGACTTATAAATCATTTCTCTTACTTATATTTTTGAGGTAAGTGAATACCGGTACCTGAGTTACCAATTACAACGGAAACCTTTGTAAAAATACTACTAAATAACTTGTGGTCAATGCAAACCCATGAAAACTTATTTTCATTATGAAATAAATCTTGGTAGTGTTCAGCTGTAATAAGGATAATTTCCTTAAATAAGTTGCAAGGCTTTCGATGTACACAATTTTTTCTCAAAAACACTGAAATTTTAAAAACTTGAGTATTCGTCAGAATCTTAATGTTCTGCAGAATAATCTACCAACATATGCGCATATGTAGTGCGCAAGTTGGTTGTTAGTTTATAAAAGAATCAAAGGATAGATAGTAAAAACTTTGTAGAGCATTAAGCATTATGCAGATAAGCACATCTGATTGAATAAAAATGTAGGAAAAACTTGAACAGGGCTATACGAACCGGTTGTGATTCTAAAAGTGAAAGACTAAATATCTAGGCTAGTCTTCTCTTCTTGTATCTATCAATTTAACTAAGCTTGTGGAGCCAGTTATATTGGCCGTTGCTCCAGGAACTTAATTTTCCCACTTGGGAACATCTACTACTTTGGCCAAATAAAGTTACAGCAAAAACCATCAACAGTTCAACATTTGACCATCTTGTCCAAAAACAGACCATTGAAGAATCTGTTTGTTTCATCTATCACGCATCAAATAAATTGAAAATACTGCAAACTGCAGAAGCCATTGCAATGAGTTAAAAACAACCGGAAATTTACGTGCAAGAGAAACAGATTCAACCATCATTGCTGCTATGCAGCTTATATATCAATAAATTCTGTATTATTTTCCTTAATTTATCTGATACTCACTTTACTGCTACATTGGTGAATATGTCATCACTTATAAATGCTTTTGAAGTGTAATCTACTGATGTTATTATTGATTCAGCGTTATTTATAACAAAGTTGTTAATAATTCCCTAATTATTATGGATATATAAGTTTTCTATAGTTTGGTTTGTAAGGGTTAGTTATGTTTTTACGAGTTGATCACGGATTGATATCAGTTAGAGAACCATATAAGTGTGGTATCGGATGAAGAAGTTATCGAAAAAACTCTTCGTTCAGTGATCAGTCCTTCTGGAATACTATTTCAATAACGAAATGCTCAAAATCAAGTCAATTCAAAGGATAGGTGTGACTTGGCTGACTGGTATAAGCTTTATCTACCAAAAACTGTATGTATATTTCTGATACAATGTAGATGGAGAGGTATTTAAATTTAAAAGAAATTTAGTGGTTAAAATAGTAATCTACATCACCTAAATCTATTTCAAAGATCTTTTGTAAGCAATACAACAAGTTAAAGAAAAACTCTTGCTTCACTGTATAGCTGTACTTACATTAATGGAAAGCACACAGTTAGTAAGAATTTCCCGAACTTTCATCATATTCCCATGCAATGAGATTAAATTCAAATCACTATAAGGACTTTCCAAAACAGTTGGCACGTGCCGTGGACCAAGATGACGTAAAAATTCAACAACACATGACTCAATGACAGAAAATTCTTCACAATTATATGGAGATACACAAACTTCAGCATGAACTGGTCGTAATGAAGAATCAGGTGTTATTAAATCTCGATGTTGATATGTAGGACTTAATGGACTTAAATCAGAATGACGTGAAGAATTGCAATCAACCTGATTATCATTCACTGAATGATTTTCTTGATTATAAGATATTTCAAGTGTATCAGAATTATTGCAAGAGTTAAGTATTTCCCAAACTGGTGTATTGATTTCCATTGTGGGGAACGAAAATTCTACAAAATAATAATAATAATAAATGAAAAATAAGTGTAGATAAAGTAATTTTCAAAATCAGATAGTAACTATTATCATGAAACTGTTATTTGAAAGTTGTCAGAAACATAACTGTACATTTTTACTTTATTTAATCGAGTGAATATTTTGCCCAACAATTAGTAGTCCTTTTACTAGATTGTCATAATGGTAATTTGAATAATGTAAGAAGTCAACTTTCAAACTTTTGCAAGCCACTAGTTAATATCTACCTACCACTTGTGTACGCTACAAAATAAACATGATTAGCAAATTATACTCAAACGTACAAAATGTTAGTCAATTTTAGACTGGCGTCCACAAGTATGTCACTAGCAAGTAAGAATGGAGGTTAAAACTTGAATTCTTTCATTCCAGAACATATATATATTAGTGAAAACAGTGAGTGAAGGTAGCCAAACATAAATGACCTTTGGTAGCTAAAGAATCTTGCATACCTGAATCGAATTCACAATATGTAAATTAGTTCACAATTTGCACACTTAGGCGGGATTATTTCATTATAGTTTCCTTTGGAAACTGAAATTATCCAAATGACAATATGCGTGATACCATCAACAGTGGTAATCAAGAAACCAAGAGTAAATACAAAAAACCATATGCTACTGATTGACTGAGATGAGCAATTTTATACCGCACACATCAACCAGTAGTGTTTCCTAGTCAGATCGAAGTGATCTGAACACAAGACGGTAGTTTCGCTAATTTCAGACCCACCTCACCAAACGGTGTATTCGGTTCGATTCAGCTCAAAGGGCCGAATCAGTTTAAACCACCCAATTTTTGCATGCATACACGTAACCAAAAATTAAATATACAATTTTGTAAGTCTTAAAAGTAAGTTAGTGGCTGTATAATAGATCAATTTCTCATACATTCTGTATCTTAAGAAACAATGTGACTTGTATCCGGCACTGCTAAATAGACAGGAGCTTTCCTATTATACACTTACGAATATATATATATATATATATATATATATGTACAAGGGATTATACTGAAAGACGCTAGAGTTTATCTGTCATCTTGCATGAATGATTTATACAAAACAATGTATGCCAGATGATCTGAAATGGATATACTAACCCAAATTATACCTTGTCTTCTCTCATTCCTTTGCGTTCCAAGTGGAAAATAGGGTTTCAACCGTGGGCTTTCAAGTTTCAATTGCGGTAATATTATCTTTTTTACACGGTGAAGTTGCTAGCCTCACACCCAGCCTTCTCTTTTAACCGGATTTACTACCAGGAATGCGTTGGCTGGGAATCGAACCCGGACCACGTCCGTGGTTGGTGAACATTCTATTGCTGAACCACCAACATAATTATACCTGGTAAGAAACTAAAACTCAAAGTTGCACACCCTTAAGCACAGAGACGCACTACAATACCTAGATAACCATTAGGCTTATCAATATTCACATATATGAAAACACCTTTTAATGCCTACCTGATACAATGATTGTCTTTTATCGCTAATGAACAGTAGAAACTTGAAAGACAATTACCACATAAAACGCGTCGCTTAAAACAGAATACTAATTTTGGATAGAAAACAAGCCAAAGAAGTCCTGACTTATAAACCAATCTGCATCCTTCTACAAAGGTACCAGGAGTACTAGTTATATCGAAATAAAAATTGCATTAGCATTTTGAGAGTTGTAACACTCAAAACCAATAAGGAGAGTTTTGAATTTATTGGAAATCCAGAGCATATATTTGAGAGTAAATCCAAACACTAACAGAATTTCAAACAAGCACTTACAGCAATTTAGAAAAAAATGTATTCGGTAGTAAAACTGTATTGATTAGGAGACTTTATACAATATGTACAAACGGATGAAATTTAAGTAAATCAGAACTTGAAAAGTTACTTGTTGCGATTCAACTCTAAAAACCTTTCACATAATGCAGAAAGACCATTACTAGCCAAGAGCTGGCACTCTGTGTCAGTATCGGACACTGAACAAGATTTCAGCCAACCTGAAAGAGTATTGTCTTCAGAGTTTGTATTATTACCATATGGTAATAATGAATCCCTGAAGATCAACTGTGGTCTAGATGACAGGATTTCTAACGGAGTTGTAGTGATAACTGTTCCGACAGCTATCAGTAGAGCACGTCGTACTGCAGGTTCAGGATGACGATAAAACAGAGGAATTAGATCCAATAGCTCGTCAGCCATCCGGTTTTGAACAGGAGAGAATCTAGAGCATGCGTACATAGTTCCTAATGAAGCTAGCAAACTGGCCAACAGAACTGCTTCTTGGTGAGCGAAGGTCCCTTTAACAGAAGAAAGCGATAAGTTCGGTATGCTTTTTAACAAAGGGAAGAAAAACTCGCCAGCAACATGGCTAAACTTGTTGACAAAAGTCGAAGGAGGTGAACGTTTCTTAAAAAACCGTCGAGTCTTCCCTTCCTGAACTTTACTGGCTTGAATGGTATCATTTTCGTTCACGTGCTGCTTTGCAAAAAGTTTCTGAGAAAGCAGTGCCTCTTTGCCACCATAGAGTTCACAAGCAATATCAGTAAGACATGATATAATATACATTTTTTTGCCCACAGAGTTGTCTTGCTGACAAAATTGTGAAGTCAGGTATCGAGCACATTTTTTGGGGGCAACCACTCCAATAGCTATTAAGGCTTTATGTCTAGCATGGGCTACTTCTTTTTGATCGGGAGTTACAGGTGGTTCAACATGAACAAGCGTATTAGCGAATTCTAGAGCCAGTTCTCGAGCTGCTTCCGGGTGATCACGAATGAGCTTTTCTGCAGATAGAGTACATGCAACGTTTACCTTGTTATCTTCAACTTTAGTTAATAGCATTCCATCGAGGCATTCGCGAAGATAATGAGGAGTTTTATCATTGTGACTTGAAGGTTGAGTAGAGGGAAGTGGTTTCAAGGAATCATTATCTGAATCTGGATCATCATCACTATCCAGTTCATGTACAGTTTGATTTACAGTGCCATCTTCGCCATTCAACTCTAAAACATAAGATAACAGTGAAAACACAATATTATCAGCTAACAAATTAGTAGTAGTTTGCTGGTGGCTCAGTATAGATAATGAAATTTTTAGCGGTCACCATATAAATGTTTGTGCAATGAATAAAATAAAAACTAATATAAAAGAAAAGAATTTAAACAGTCTTGATCACAATGGAACAAGATGAGTTGCTGAGAACTAAATAGTGTTTGCATGGTAACTATGAAATACAACAGTGAAAAAACAAATAATCGAACAACTGCCCTGGAATTTCAAATAGACAAAAGCAATATTATCTTACTGTTCTAATTGTATCTTACTTTTATAGTGAGTAAAGTATACATTACTTCAATCAATGTCCGTGAATTTTAAAATACACTACAACTTCCTGAAAGCTAAGGTGTTATTTAGTAAATGTCAGTTCCAAGTATATTCACCTTAATAACGATACTATTTTTAGTCTTGAATTGTACCAATTCTAGTGACACAACTTTAAGCTCGGTTTTACTTCAATAAGTAATACATAAAGATACTAATACACGTGATGTTTCAGAAGCCCACAACCAGCGACAAAGTTTGTTTTTTCTTTTAAACGTCAAATGACTACACGGAAAAGCCACCCAATTTACACGCTTTCATTGTTAGTTCATATCAAGTGTAGTGGCAACATGGTCACTGAAACATTAAACACTTACTGATTCGATACTAACTGCATATTTATTGTTCGACTGAAGAAACTAGAACTAACATAGAAAGAAAAAACTTCTACCTGTAAATAACATTCTAATTAGGCAAAAAGTGCACCTAGATATACTGTTTCAACCTTCCAACGAAAATACATATGAAAAATGTTGAGCGTAAAATCTAGAAAATAATAACTTACCGTGATCACGTGAAGCGACAGTATCTTCGTGAGAATCGCTTCCCGATATTGTCTCAGTGGGGATGGTAGCCTGTAGGTTAGATTCCACTCCATGATTTTCATCCATAGGAACAAAGTACGGCCGGATGTATTTCAGGAACTCTAGTTCCTCATAATCAAATTCTAGCTTTTGATCTTCGTCTCCTGTATCCCATTTGAGAAATTTTACGATCCACTCACCTATCACCATACCAAGGGTACGTACCTCGATTCTTGGACTCGCGAGGTGGTTAGAGATGCCAGATAAAATATCAGGTAACAGATGATCATCTGTTATCGTAAATTCAGAACTAAGCATATTCCGGAAATCAACAAACCACGAAATAAAAATCTGAGATACATATATGCGTCTTTCCAAAGAAGCTGATTGTATGGAACTCACGTCTGACCAAACGCTAAGAGCAGGTAAGCCTAAATTTTCATCGACTTGTTTAATCAGTTGTTTGGACTTCTCCTGAGATTCGCGTTTTCTCACCGCCAAACAAAAGGAGCTGAAAATGTTTCTGATGGTATTACCTGTTCGAAATTGGCGAATATAGAAGAGACGACGACACAGTCTCATATATGCATCAAAGCCAGTGGGAGTCTCTAGAAGCTCAGATATCAAAGCATAATACATGCTTGAAGTAGGGCATTTCTTAGCCAACGGTGATAATGTTATCTCCAAGCCTTTGGCGTTGACATATTTTAAAAGCTTCGACCACAAATGGATTGTATTACCAATACTCTGTTTAATGATGAAATCTGATACGTGTTCAGTATATCCTGTCATACAGAGACAACTAACTGCCAGACCCATAAATTGACAGCTTCTTTCTGAAATTTCACGAACACGTTCAAAAGCCGACAAGACTTTTTTAACAAAACCACTCCCGTCGGTAAAATAAGAACAATCTCCACGTTTCAAGTTGGAAATAAGTGCCGGAATGTTGCACAATAACCTAACACGGGATTCCATGAAAGCAGGAGCACATTCCAAATGGACGTCAAAGTTGTGTAGGCAGGCATTAATAAAATCAGGAACTCTATCAAGCTCTGAGAAAAATCTCTCCAACTCTTTCACAACCAAATCTTTTCCGGAAGCATCTAATTGGCCAACTAAGGCACACATGCACTCAAGCCACACATCAGCTTTCGAATACTGAGTAATATACTTAGCTAAGTGTAGTATTTCTGAGTTTGGTGACTGTTTAATCTTCTCAAAAACGTGAAGAATAATCCGGTAGAAATATTTGTCGTACAAAACCTTTTCATCTTCTTCGGTAAGGCAAAAATCCAATTCACCTTTATTTAAAGGATATTTTAAAATACTCTTGACGCATGACACGGCGCTTTTATTATCCACGTCAGCTAAATAGTCCTCCAGTAAACTTATCATCTCTTAGCAGCGCATTCTGTTGGGACTCTATTGTTGAACTTCGCCGCACAGATGGCTAATGGAGAGGCTGAGCACTTGAAGGTCACTTGTGCACATTGTGATTGGTAGACTTTCTTTTGCATAAACGTTGCGGCTAACATGTGATGTACGTTACTGAGGCGGGCTTTGAAATAACAATAATAAAAGCGGATAGACATTATATTTTTCAGCTTACGGGAACAAGTTAATATAAATATAAATTTTACAGATCTGATAATCACTGAAGGCAAGAGTAAACAATAGACACCAAAGGCAAATGACACTGATGTAACCAATCAGATACCTCAGCATTACAAATGGTTGCTAGTCATAATCATCGTTCACAATGTCTCTTAGATTTGGTTTTCGACTTCTCTGTGGAAAATCGGTTGATAGGAGAGAATAAAACATGCATATGTGGAGGGATAATGACTGAAAATTTATTGCCGGGCTATTGATGGTTATACATTCAGAACTTCCAAAACATTTGTCACACTTTCTTCTGTAAAAAGCAAGTATTACACAAGTGATTCGCTTACCCATCCGTTACAAGCAAATAAAAGAGGTCAAATCTTCAAACTTTGTACTTCTTTGATTAAGTTAGCCAGTAATATTCTTCTTGAAAGTGGATCCGATGCCACAATGGATCTGGCGGTGACGAAAACTGCAAAGACTGGTCCAACACCACTACCAGAGGAGACAAACAGATACAGATGTTGTGGATAGAGTGATTAGTAGACTTTATGATGACTATGACGCAGTCATAAAAATCTCTACAACTGTGTTTTTTTACGCAGGTGGAGTTAAGTCTACCCCAGTAACAACCATGTCTCAATGATAGCAATCACATCAGGTTGTAGTCTTTCAGATAATTCTCCTAATTCGGATAGCTTACTCCGAAGACTACATGCGTTCGTTCAGCACGCTTAAACACCCACGTTCTCATCTGGCTGCTAAAGAGAGGTCTCGGCAGCATCAGTTTCCGAGACCTCACCACCCGGGAACCCAATAGCTTGAGGTCTTTTTCGCCTTTCTCTAGCCTGTCCTTTAGCTCAGCTACGACTTTTGTTCTCTTGGTTCCATCTTCTAACGACCAATCAGGCCATATTCTTAAACTCTTATCATTGATTTTGAACGCGTTGTTGAGGGTAGAGCTCCTTTTTGTCCCGTTACTTAAAGCTACCTTAAGTAGTCATCGGGAAGTTTCCACAGAATCAGTGTTTCCTTTTCCGATCCTGTTGGCATTTCTGTGTGGACTCCAGTTGTCTTTTTTCGGGAAGTACTTCCCATATAATAGAACTAACTGCCTTCAGATCATCTGCATGTCATGCAGATGGATCTGTGCTTTAAGACTCCTCTAAGTTCCAGGTGATGACACTAACTAAAGTCCGTAGGTTTCGGAGTTTGGTTGGTATCAACAGCCATCGAGACCTTGTTAGTAAATCCGGTTACTGTTTCTTTCCTACGTTAATTCAGCCTCTTACTTGTCAGAACCAACCAAGTTGAGTGGGTTCCTTCAACTTTCTTTTCGCCACAACTAGAAGCCAGTCGTAAAATAGACAATCTGAGCTTTGGCATGGCCGTTTCACCAGCTGGTATTACCATGCTGGCACTACTTGCGCTTTTAGATTTTCTTTGCTTCTTGCGCGTAGCCGCGTCAGATTTTTGGGCACTTTGTGCCTCTTTTGTATCTGACACTTCAGGATATGATACGGTCTCAATTTTAAAACTAAGTCCTGAATCACCATTTTTGGCATCGATTTCTGATGCAGGCTTTTCTACTGTACTTTTCAACAATTTCTTGGACAAAAGAAGTCCTACTGCCACTCGAATGAGGACATCCAACGGGCTACCGCTAATTTGCACACCCACCGGGATGATGGATTGCAACACGTCTTATAGGCTACTGGTGATAAACCAGTGCAAACTTCGTGAAACTACAGACTGCAGTTGTCACACTGCATCCCGTCATCCACCGGAAAGTGGCAGTCTGGTCTTTCACAGTTGTTAGCCTGGATCATAACATCCCAAATCTTGGTTGTGAGGAAAAAACAAAAATAAAAACTAGTTCTACAACCTGCAACTGCAGACTTTGCGTGGGCGGCTAAGATTCGCAGATACGTGGTCTGACCTTCAAAGAAACGGCCACAAAGAGATGATAGAATATTTTCCAGCGACCGAACAACCAATTAGAAGACGTCGTTTCTCTGCTAATAATAACGAATGATAATGTACATAAAAATCTATAAATATCTGTTGTTTTTCTCAATAAACGTTCTGTTGCATGCCCCTTGTTACAATGTGAATGCGTAATCCGCATAATCATTTCTACAGAAAAGTCAGTCTTTAAAAATAATCCGTGGTACTTCACCATGCTGTTCAGTAACTATACGGTGCGAAAGTTTCTCATGTACAATATACGTACTGTTCAAGATGGCTAATCGAATAAATAACGACAGTGAACTGCCTCAGAATCAATTAGAATATCCTCAACAAAGTGAGATGAAAACTCCATCTGCGAGAATCAGATAGAATGAAGCAGGTATATACAAACCTTACGGATACTATTTTTTTCAAATAAAGAGAGCTACCTTAATCTGTGTACATCCCATCCGGCAAAATGCTGTACAACATATTCCACCAAAACAGAGTTTTTGAGCAGTGAATGCGTGTAAGATAGTATCGCAGGTAATCTCTTCCTTTTAAGTGTGAACAGCCTAAGAGCAAGACAGTGTTATCTGTTGGGGTAATTTGGTTTATCTCTCCGGAGTTAATGAAGAAAGTACGTTGGTGACTGATTTCACGTGAAAGAAATTAATTTCTGACTGATCCTGGTAGAACCACAGTTATTTTCCCTATTAACAGGAATGAAAAGATCGTGGTCATGCTTATTCTGAGGCGTGGAATATGATGATTGCATGCACTGGATAAAAGTTATGTTACCCCATCAAGATATGTTTTCGAAACATGTTCGCGCTACACAATCAATACGACGCGGCTGTATATAATTTTTCCGTATACCCAGACAAGCTATCATTTTTCGGACTGAATGGTCCTCAGTGCTCAGAGAATTTGTTATCGAACGCTTTTCTATATCATAATCATTATACGTTTTGAAATACTTCTTTGTTGATGCTATTTTTTTACATCTCATTCCTTTGCATCCCGTATAGGCTTCCAGGTATGGCCATCAACTTTCAGTAGCAGTGGCGTTTGCTTTTATGGAGCAAGTTAAATAGGCTCATGCCCAACCTTTCCACTATATCTGGCTTGCTTCAGTCTGAGCGAGGCTTTGCAATGCGCCAACAGAGGATCAGAATACTCTAAGACATGAAATGATTCACATACCTCTAGTATTTTTATTCAGTTTTCTCAGAAACTTGATCTGTAAGGCGCACTTATGTCGTAAGTTTAGCGTTCGTACCATTACTATAGCAAAATACAAAATGAAGGTATTCCTTGAGCTGTATTTTATATCGAAAATATCTCAGCGAATTCCCCTGAGAACTATAAAGCCGAAGGTCTTCCTCGTACAAGATATGTAGTATCTAATGCTCACGCAAGATTTACGTCGTGAACCTGTGCTACCACACATGATTTTTAGACCATTCACAATAAACTAAAGTAGACTGAAGGCCACGTGATTAGGTAACTTTTCGAGACATGGTTTCTACGATATAAACTAGTAATTTGTCGATTATTAAGATAACTATTATCAACGTTGGTAAGAACTGAAGAGATGTTCAGTGAACCTGCCTATTCGAACAAGTTTCATTTTCATTAGGGGAGAAAATCTTCTCCTTATCTTCTTTTATGAGACGTACTACTCTGGACCACAGCACTGATGCATCGATGCTATCCTCTACGCTAGTATTACTCTAATGGAATGTCAAAATCATTGGAACCCTGCAGATATTCAGAACTTTACCAGCACGTCTGATTAAGATCGGACAACCTCCTTCCTGAATTCGGTTGGTGCTTTCAAAGCTGGTACCGGATAACTGCTAACGACACGGTGGTACTGTGCTTCAGGCGATCGTATAATTTTGTGAATTTTCGAACCATTTATACTTCATGAAGTGTTAATTATCCCAAATTTCTCAGGCACTAGTCCATCAAACCGCTTCTCACTTCCTAAAAACACAAACATTTGTAATTAGCGCGCTAAATGCAGTAGGTTGCGGGGCGTTAAATTTTAATTTAACCCATCAGCTTACAAATTGTTCGATTAAAAACGAACTTCAAAAATAACTTATCCAATAATTTGTACTTTTTCAATATTCACACTGCCTGAACTAATGTTCAGTTCAAAACTGTATCTAAAATTCTTTTCATTTTTCCTGTCGATTATTAGTGATGTACACATTTATGAGTGTGAAAGTGGCTGGTTTCTTTCCAAGAAACAAACTACTGTTTAATGTTTGCTGTTTGCCAGGAGACCAGAGCAATGCAATCAGAAGTATCGTTGTATATTAAATTGACGCTTATTTGTAGGTTTCTTCAATGTTTTTACACTAACCAGCTGTTAACTTGATGTTCAGACTGCTGTTTAGTTAACCACATTTTATTGGTTTTTTGTTGGTCGAAAATTAAGTTTTCGTTCTGGATTGTATTATCAATTGCGCTGAACAATAGTCAGTCATTAAGTGCCGAACTAGTGTCCTTGTGACGGTATCAAAAATTCTTGATAGTATTACTGACAGGTTCCGATCTACTCAATTAACAGTTTCTGGTCTGATCACTTAACAACCGTTCAATTGGCTGTATTTTTGTTATATCACCTTTGTGCAGTATTTGGACTCTTGCATGAAGTGGATGATTTGCTGCACATCTTTCGTTTGAATGCACGTCTTTCTTAACTGCGAGTCACTTTGTTTCGAGCTACTGCATCCTCGATATTTAGATGCAGGATAATCTCACAATAAAAGGTTCGTACTATAATTGCCTGGTAAATTCTTAAGATAGAACAATTAACCTTGCAGAATCTTCCACAACTT